ATATTGGAACTTAACCTAAAAGATGATTAAACTATTTCAATATTCTAAAACTGGGTTACGGTGTTTATGATATCTCAAAAAATTAATTTACATATTTATATTTTTATTTCACTTAGCGTCGTTTTAGTCAGCAGGCGGCAGAATGTGTTACGGTACTTAATTAAATTTTGCCAAGATTACAATTACGTCAATGTAGCACCGAATGAGTGTATCTCAAAAAATTACTTTATCACTTTGCGGACGGCAGTAAAGCGACTATTGCGACGCGGTCCTTATGATTTCTCGTCAGAGCTTTTAGCTATGAAAACAGCGGAGGGCCTTTCTACACCCGATACGAGGCTTTTCACTCCACACTTAATGTTTGTTTAGAAACACGTACGCCGTTTACAATGCAGGGTGCATAGAAAAAAGCAGGAAAGACGAAATACAGCATGTTGTACAAAAATGGTGACAATATATATTTTTTTCTTACAAACCCGTGAAATATATATAGGTATAGGTATACGTAACGTAACAAATCTCTCTGAATATTGGAACTTATATATTATTATTCATGTTAATGCATTAAGATAGCAAATAGTTACATAATAAAAATATCTACTTTAATTAATGAGAGAGTGTAGTTAGAACATTTTACACCCTTTGTGTAATAATGCCAAATCTGCAAAATGACATCTTTTCAGGCAAGAAGTTTAAAGATTCTATGAACAAAATTAGTTGGTAACTTTTAACCGACTTTAAAAAAGGAGGAGGTTCTCAATTCGACTGTATGTTTTTTCTTTTTTTTTGTATGTATGTTACGCGATAACTCCGGTATTTGTGAACCAATTTTGATGATTCTTTTTTGTTGGAAAGAGCACCTCAGAAGTGTCCCATTTAAATATGAAGAAAATATTCCACTTCTAAGGGTGGCAAACTAGGGGATGAATCCGGTTTCGCGCACTTTCCGGTAATTAATTTCAATAAAACTTGGAAAATAGATGTAATTCCACAAACTGGTCGCTTTTGTTAGTACTTTGTAATGAGTTTGTTTATTTTTAAATATTAGAGTTGATAAATTTCACATAATACGTAAGTTGTTTCGTATAATTAAGTTTGTTGAATGTCAGGAATGTTTTACCACACCATAATATTCAGGGCTCATTGAAAACCAGCTCACAGTCAATTATGGCTATCGCATGAAGGCTGAATGAAGCCGTTTGCGTACGACTAAAGCGCACAAATGACAGTACAAATTTGTTGTGATTATATTTTGTGTGTTTTGTTATCATACTTTTTTTGTAACTATGTGTTGTGACGTTGCAATAAATATCTATTCCATTCTATATTCAATTATTTGTTTGCGAAATTACTCCACTAGATTTGGTTACATAGCAGTAGTCTGAAAAGACATTTTCCAGAAATAACGTATGCTCGAATTTTCATAAGCTCGAAAGTAATTAAGAGAGGAAAATGTTTTTTCTTTTAAACCTAACTTAACCGATCCTAATCGTGTCTTTGCGATAAACATCCAACATATACTGAAAGAACAACGGTTTCCAAATAATTATTCGGATTTCAAAAAAAATGGAATAAACGTTTTTAAAAAAAAAAATCGAGTTTGTAATAGGTTACCATTTATTACAATTATTAATACAAAGATCAAAAATTTCCTTCTTTCCTGATTCTAACTAATTTCTTTCTCCTTTCTTCTTCAAAGTCTTTTACCAAACCGATACCAGATGCAATGCCAACTAAGCCACGGAACGAACCAGTGGACCTTACGAACCTTACCTTTTAGTAGCAGTAGGTCTAATTGTGAAAGTGTTCTTCCAGGGAAGTACTGCCACCTGACCTATTTCTGCCGCCAAGCAGTAATGTCAGCATTACTGTGTTCCGGTTTTGAAGGGTAAGGGTGCTGGTGAAATTACTGGCACATGGGACTTGTCAAAAGCTTTGAGTGACACTGTAACTGTCATGGACGCGTGTAGCTTACCATCAGGCGCATGACTTGTTGGTACCGTCACTTGATTTTATAAAAAAAAATCTATGTGCTTGTTGCAGGTTTTGTATTGGTTTTTTAACAGCTTTCTTTACCCGTAGCGCCATCTGTGTGTTTCGTATAGTCAGTATTATTCTTATACCTTTCATATCATAAAAGCACTTTTGACGTATAATCATATGTGGCTTTATAATACCAAGGATACCATTTCTTTGAATGAAATCAATCAGTTGTAAACAGTCACTCTGCTGTCCAATATATTTGTATAAAGGACTTTTTTTTATCAAATTTCATACTGTATTAAATAACTATTTGTAATAATGTTGTATTGTGACATAAGTTGACATTTCCCATGTGTCCCCTGTAATTTCACCATCATCCTTAGCCTTCAAAACCGGAACTCAGTAAGGCTTATATTACTGCTTGGCGGCAGAAATCGGCAAGGTGGCAGTACCTACTTCCCTGGACAAACTCTTTCAAAAGGAGCTCTGCTGCTGCTGCAATCTTCTTGGTGTCATATTAAGCTATACCCTGGTCCTATAAATAAGGCACCAGCTAGCCGAGCATTCCAACTACCTTAACTTTACACCTCCTCCGTCTACACTTATTGTTATTTATTAGTCTTTATTTGTTGTATAATTTATTACGAATTGCGCCGTGGCTAATATTTGATTTTAGAATAAAAAAGGTAATTAAATTTTTATTGCATTGATATTCAATTATTTTTTGTGAAACGACTCCACTAGTTTGTTATAATTATTAATACAAAGATCGAACACTCAGAAAAAGGTCCTTCGATCCGGTCGGATTCGAACCGACGTCTTCTTGCATACCGTGCCAGACGCTATACCAACTAAGCTACGGAACGAACCAACAGACCTCACGAATTTTTAATAATACAGTGAATAGCGACATCTCTCTCCAGGACTGGTAGCTGTAAAGGTACTAACTGGGTGATAAATCTTTCATAGATTTCTCATAGATGGCGCTACGACTAAAAAGTCATTGAAAAACCAAATACAAAGACGCGACGCAAGCACATAGAAAAATTCGTTTTTTCGTTCCGTGGCTTAGTTGGTATAGCGTCTGGCACGGTATGCAAGAAGACGTCGGTTCGAATCCGACCGCGTCGAAGGAACTTTTTCTGAGTGTTCGATCTTTGTATTAATAATTATAACAAAAAAGTTGTTGATTTGTTGATTAAGTAAAAGCTACTTATTCTATTTTTATAACGATCGTTTAGGAGCGCAGGAAAGAATTAGAAAGGGAACAATTGAAATGAACCCCGATTGTATTCAAATATTATGTGCATATTTGAATATACATTTTCTCGAGCTATCGAATGGAAAGCATCGTTTTATGTTTGACCTACTATTTATTATTCTAAGAATAAGTAAAATTTTAAGATGTATATTTTCAATAATATTAATGTTTCTTATAATTTATTAAAGCATAGATCGAAAGAAGTTTTCTTGGTGTTCGATCTTTGTATTGATAATTATAACAAACTAGTGGAGTAATTTCACAAAAAGAAAAGATTATCATGGTTGTAATAAATCATTAAGCAAAAAGGGTCCAATCCACGAAAATTATCAAAAAATGAGATATATGTACCAAATGTTAATAAACTGTAACCTCTTAGATCAGGAAAAAATCCAACATATTAACATAAATAAATATCTCTGGAGTTACATGACATTGTAATAAAGAAAATATTATAAAAATAAAAATAAAAAATAATTTATTGCAGACAATATACAGTCCATTTTGTTAGTACACTTACAAGCTAACTATTCTACTGTTACTACAAAAATTACACAATAAAAATAAAATAATTAGAATAAATGAATGAAATGAATTGCATTGATTACATAATGAAATGATTACATGATACGTGATACTTGGTAAGTTCACCGAGCTCCCAGGACGTGAAGTTCGGTGAACCTAGTAAGCAGATCGGAATCCCACCTATCCCGTATCATTTTAATATGTATAATTATAAGATATGAAAATGAAACAAGAATGAGAAACATTTTTAAATTTCAATCTGCCATATCTCGAAAGTGACTGGATGTGCATTGGATCATTTTTGTTTAACTACTTCCAACTAAGCAACGGAACGAACCAGCGGACCTAACGAATTCTTATATGTGCTTTTTGTCTGATATTTGTATTTGGTTTTCAACGATTTGTTAGCCGCACCATCTATGAGAATTTTATGAAAGTATTTCGTCACCGAGTTAGATACCTTTACAGCTACCAGCCCTGGCTAAAGACGTCGCTATCAACAGTAATTAAGTTTGTATTGAACTGATATTCAATTATTTTTATGCCAACTAAACATAGTTGCTTAGTTGGCGTAACGTCTGCCACGGACTGCTAGAAGACGTACGTTCGAATCTGATCAGATCAAAAGAATTTTTTGTATTAATAATTGTAACAAGTAGTGGAGTAATTTCACAAAAACAAATTAATATCAAGTCAATAAATTCAAATCAATAATATTTATGTTGCTTATACAGTCTCGTATCTTTCTACATAACTTGTTTATAGTGACCCTTTCTAACAGTCTCTTGGTTGCTTTTTAATCGCATAACGTGTAACCTTGTCGCTCGATATAAATCTTACTTATACTTAATAAAACGTTGAACTGTAATATACTAAATAGTATTGTTATCTGCTTTCGTTTTTTCGATATCAAGTGATGGGACGAACGAGACTTGCGCGCGGTGGTAAACGAGACGCCTGTCTATAGCAGTTGCCACTCCGCTCAGAGCTTTAAATCGCAAAGATCTGAGGGCAGTGTCACCGAGCCCGTCACCCTGAGATTTAAGTCGACCAGTGCTTGTAATTTGATCAGCTTCCGTACCCTTCGAAATGGGAACACTGTAATGCTCACTTTAATGCATGGCAGTAGAAAAAGTTAAGGTTCCTTAGACGAACTCTTTGACAAGTCTACTTCGACTAAGTTATCATTTAGGGGCTTTTTTATGATCTGTTCTACGATTGATTGTTGCAGGAGTATACTACACAATGGCGGTCCTCGGTCCAGCGCTTGGCTTTGTGCTGGGCGGGCAGATGCTCAACATCTATACGGACTTCCTTACTGTCGACTCCGAAACGTATGTACTGCCTAAGTTTCTTGTATCCAATGTTTGTATGTGCCATTGGTCGCAGGCCCCATGACCGTACCTTGTGGTGGCCTATTGCTTCCCGCAATATTTAAACAAATCATATAACTTACTGGAACGTTTCATAGATAAGTATCGTTGTAATATCCACACGCAAAATAGGCGCCTTGACGTCGAGTTGCGGACACGAGCCCGTTATACCAAGTATCAAGTACTATTTAATGTTCATGATGCCACTTAAGTACAACATTTTCTTTTTTTAGCTGACTTTAAAGAAGGAGGAGGCTATTTTTTTGTATGAATATTACGCGATAACCGATTTTGTTTCTTTTTTGTTGAAAAGAGGGTACCTCAGTTTTGGTCCCAGTTCAATATGAAGAAAATATGCTAAGTGTGGTAAACTAGGGAAGAATCCGGTTTCGCGCACTTTCCGTTTACCAATTTCAATAAAACTTGACAAATAGCTGTAATTCAAGTAATAAGATGACACCCGCGATACAGGGTTTCCCTGGTGCGTGGCTACGAGTGTATGCTTTAAAAAAAATCCACGAACTTTTGAGGTCGGTTTTTTAAATGTATTTTTTAATTATTCGGATCTAAATATTGTAAATTTACAAACCAATCTTATGGACCCTTTACAGGTCTCTTGGTCTCGGGTCACTGATATGTTAAGGTCATCAACCAGTTTTTCAAACGAATATTATACTTTATTTAATTATTTTCACGCCCAAACTCCTGAACCAATATTGGTATAGATGGAAGCTAGAAGGATAGATGCTACTTTTTGTCACAAAAGTAAACCTTAGACTGGGTGAAATAAGGGATGAAAATTTGAATGGGGAACGAATAAAATAATGACAATCAATATAATATAGTATGCTAGTCAAAGTACTTGTTCTACGCAGACAAAGCAGCCAGTGTCTAATATTAATGGAAAGAAAAACTGGAGAGGAGTGTTTTTTATGTATGATACGCGATAACTCCGCATTGTGAACCGATTTTGATAATTCTTTTTTTGTTGGAAACAGGGTACCTCAGTGGTGGTCTCATTTAAATTTGAAGAAAGTATTCCACCTCTGAGGGTGGCAAACTAAGGGACGAAAGACTTTTGAGTTCGATTTTTTTAGTACTTTGTACAAAGATTATTATAGTTACAAAACTAGTACATAGATATCGTTGTACAAATATTATTAATTGCCTTATTTTAATTTTCCAAAGAACGTTCTAATTTACGCTACATGTTTTTACAAAATATTTTGTTTTAAATATAGTATTTTTGATTAAATTTAATTTATCATAACAAATTAAAACAATCTAAGTCAAAGAATCGTCTTATTCCTAGACAAAACTAATTACACTTGAAAACGTCATTTTTTAAGCTTCTGGTCTTAAGCACTGTGCTGACTTCTCTGAGAAGAACGAGCAAGAAACTCTGGGGATTGCTCTCAAATTTGTGTGGAATCTAGACCTATGTCTAGATTCTACTCTTTCCATACATCTTTGGATATCTTCTTTCCTAAAGAAATTATGTATATTTTTACGGGCATATAAAATATTTGAGTAAATGTACTATGATGCCACAGTCATATAGTCTCCTTAAAATTTCTCTGAGAGAAACCCGAGACCCTAAACGGTACCTACACAGAACGTATCGCACGTTAATAAATAAAATGCATACTAAATTAAAACGTTTTAATTAATATTGCAGTTTTATGTCTGCTTGGGATTTTTTGTCCGATGAAATACCAACCTAAGAACTCTGTAACAAAATCATAATTAATAAACCAATTGAAAATGTGCTTAATAGATTTTGTTCTTACAAAATAAATTGAATGAAAGCCCTAGAAATGCAATCCTCGCTTCAAAACTCTTGAAATCATATTTTGCGAAGCCATGTAAGTCCAGAATTAATTCGTGGAAGTAAAGTTGTGGGCGCGCACAATGAGATGAAAGGCCGGGGCTGAATGAAGCAGAGTCGCTGTCTGATGAAAAATTAAAAAGTGACTCAACATGTCTAGGTAAAGGTGTTCTTGCCAGCGCGTCTATTTTAAGTAGCTACAAAAAAGCAGCTTAGGCCAGAAATACTAGTCCGACTTAATTTGAGAACCGATTTCGATGTTTATTTTTTTTCTTGGAAGGAGGTAACTTCGCTGTGGTCCTATTCAAATATGAAGAAAATATTCAACTTCTTTGGATGACAAATTAGGGCATGAATCCGGTTTATTAAATCTCACCCACTCTTCGTTAACCGATTTAATAAAACTTCCGCAAACTTTTGAGGTATTTTATTTTTTATTTATGGCACAATGTACAGACATCAGATACAGAAAGTGAGGAAAATAAAAACACTTAAAAATTAATACAACAGGCATATCTGTGCCCAATTATTACTGTGCTCAGCATTCATTTTAAAACATTTAGATACTTAAACAGACACTAAATCAATCATAAAAAAAAATCGAGAGAAATAAACAAATAGAGAGAATGAGAATATGCTATTCACTTTACATTAATGCTAGCAGTGACCTCTTAAATGCTGGGACACTGCAGTTAAAGATATCACAATTAGTCATATTTCATTATAATACCCACACATCCTATATAGAGGATTATTTTGTGATACATTGTTTTTTGAAATGGGTATACTGAATAGTCGTTGATTACGCACAGACCGAGTCGGCACCTTAGAATAATAACGCATAGAAACCTAGTCCGCACACGCTAAGTGAGGCAAATTGAAGCGCGCCCAATGGGCCTACACGAGCGGGCGGGCTTCTGTGCTCAAGGTCAACTTGCACCGCGAACAGATCAAGAATTTTAGTTAAAAATGACGAAATGTGCGGTAAATGAGTGTAAAAATACGTCAGACAAACATAGAATAGATACTAACATCACATTCCACAAGGAAGTAACGCGTTTCAATAGCGTGTATTTTTATATAAATAATCACTAAAACCGAAAATTAACCTACTACTAAAACTAGCCTACATGAATTTGATTTTTGCCTCACTTATGACAGTTCGTTTGATATGAAACTATCATTCTATGCGTTATCATTCTAAGGTCGGCACCCTAAACAGTAGCATCCTTAGCAAGCCATCGTTAAGTTAAAGTTATTTGTATCTCCCAACTGCAGGTTTATTATTTTACGACAACAATCCGTTTAAACTAAAACAGAGCTAACCCAAAACTCAACATTATGTGTAGTAAACTCTTCAAGACAATAAATATAAATGAGTACAAGGAAAGTTCAAAACCCCGCAGGTTTTCTGATTTATGATTTATAAGTCCGATAATATAATTTGATCCTCGAAGATGTAGTTGGTATATTGTAAATGTGTACTTTTTAAAAAAAAAGGTATTTGTTTATGTTTTTGTATGTTTGATTTACGGATAAATTATAAATGAACTGCATTATGTTTAAGCATACTAAATTAACATTTGGTAGTCAAATATTTTTTGGTAGTTTTTTCATATAGGTCAAATCTTAGTTGCGCCCTCCATTCAGTTAGGTTGGTATATAAAGAAGCTGCGAAGAGAATTTGCTTGCGTTTCCGAACATGATTTCAGGTTTATTAATGCTCATTTGTCTTAGTTGATCGAATGACGTCCGTGATATCAGTCTTTCGATGCAATTCCAATAGTACCTTTCCCATATAACCAAGAGGTTGACAGGGAGAGGCACTATTATCAAAACGTAGATATCGATACCTTCAATTGACTCTGCGCCGACTTTACTTTTTGGTATTTTTCTGTTTTTGTTGTAAACAGCCATATTTGTTTACTAATACCTATTATGCACTCCGATTTTTGTGAAATAAGGAGACAGAAAACAAAATTCGAAAAATAAAACTAAGACTTAACTTTGTGAATAATCTCAGTACAGAGTACTAAAAAGCCGACCTCAAAAGTACGCGGAATTACGTCTAGTTGCTAAGTGTTATTGAAATATCCTTAAATTCGCCACTATACAGGACTGGACACTGGAGATAATAAAAATCGGTTCTCACTACTCAAAGAATATTGAGAGAAAAACGCCTTGAATTAGAGGAATAGCAAAATCAATCACTAAAATAATTGCTCCTTAGGAAAATTTAGGCGCTATTTATAAAAATGAATCTTCATGCGTGAACAGCCACCCATAGAGGTGGATGATTTCCTTCAAAATGAAAAGGGACCACTATGGAAGTACCTCCTTTCCAACAAAAAAAGAATCATGAAAATCGGTTCACAAATACCGGAGTTATCGCGTAACATACATACAAAAAACCAAGAAAAACATACAGTCGAATTGAGAATTCTTTTTTAAAGTCGGTTAAAAAGACACAAAACACAAAATAAAAACAAGACAGATCCAAAAATTAAGTTATAATAGTGTTCATTGTAGGTATCGATATAAGACATGAATCTGTGGCGCTTTTTTAAAAAAAACTATCTATTCCTCTATTACGCTCTAATTTAAATAAATAAACAAAGCCCTCTACTCTCTAGTGCGAAACCCTGTGTCGCGGGTGCCATGGACACATGCATAGGCGACTACAAATTACACCCAAACTCTCGAGAGAAATAAATGTAGGCCATACTAATTTTTCTTGTCCCGAGAATCGAACCCGGGACATCTGCGTGGCAGACCAGCTAGGGTAACCTGTCGGCCGCGGAAGGAGTTATTGAATCATTCGTTCGAATACATCTCCAAAGTGATGTGGTAACTTAAATTGCTCTTCATCTAACCCAATTATCCTAAAAGCATTCTCATATCTCCAGTAAGTACTATACTATTTTGCCTCCTCACAGTGGCAGGGGCGGAGGTTCACCAATTCAATCAACGACTACAATGGTCTATTATTCTAACTCACTGGTGATCTATCGGACACTCTATGTTTAGCTAAGAGCACGCCATTTGTGTTAGGCAACTACTTCAAAATGAGTTCAGGAGTTTTATGGGTCTTCTCTTGTTAACAAGAAAGTCCATCTATTTATAATTCTGCAGTACTTACAACTGTGTATCCTTTTACAAGGGTGTAGCTATCGGATAATACTGGTTTCACAGTGAAATAATCTTTATTTCATAGGTAAGTTACCTTACACTTAAAATCGCCATATTGTTTAAACTCTGCTGCTCATTCGTAAGGCAGATTCCCTTGAGAAGAATAAGCAAGAAACTCTAGGGGTTGCTCTTTGTAAATAAACATGTAGACTTCTTCCAAACACTCCAATAAAACGCCGTATTAACCAAACTGATTTATTAAATTATCAATTCCTCCAACAATTTATACTAGAACTTTAAAATATACGCAACAAAATTTGTAACCACAAAATACCGTTATAATTCCTGACCAATCTAACTTTAATATTTGATGAGATACGAATGCATAAATTTTTCTTTCACCTCAAGACATTGCCTCGTAAATTCCTTCTTTTTCAATTCCCGCCATTTTTCGCAAGTAGGGAACTTTAAAAGCAATGTCATTGGCTAGTCGAACCGGTAGATAAAGTGTTCGGACCAATCACAATATTTAAATAAATGATAATGAAAATAATTTTTCTATTTTACGATTATATATTTCTTACAAACATTTGTATATATTTATCATTTTAGAGAGACAATCCGCTAAACGCTAGTAAATGGGTCACGGATTTTTGTCATGCTAGTACGTAGAAGCTATATAACACAATAAAGTCACACTTACGCCGCTGCAGCCCTTTTATATGCGTCTTATTTGAAGGTGTCATAAGTATAAAGTTTTTGAATTACTTGGCTTTGTGAAGATACTTATTTGTTATGTATAAAAATACACAAAGTTTGTACAATCGCCTTATCTTGTTCCCATTTTACGTTCATAATTTACAATACTGTTGTAAAAATATGTGTTACGCACAAAAATTTCGATTTCAAGCATTCATTTTATACTTAACAGTATTTCTCGATACGAAGAGTCCGGCTGACTTGCAAACATTGGAATTAGCATATGAAAACACGGCGATATCTTCCGAACGCCTGCTTGAATCGCGTTAGCAATTGTTTCAGAGTACCCGGCCGTGGGTGCAAAAACAATAGGCGGCCGACTGATAAAGTTGAATTAAAATCACTCCGTGGAATTACAATGTTTATGGAACTGTTTTCGGAACGTGCTTAGTTAATTACATAGATACTCGTAAATACATCGACGACAGTAAACAGTTACCGAATATTTGCAAAATCGCAATGCAAAAACTTTAGAGAATAATAGGTATACAGGGTGGAAATTTGTAATGCCACCTGAAGGGAAAGTACTCTAAATACTGGAAATAGACATTTTTACTAAAGGAAACATTCCTTTATTTTTTAAAAGGAATAAAACTTCATTCATAGATTTTCGAATATTTCTAGCAACACGCGGGAACCGAACCCGCTTTAATCTAAAATAAAATGCACCCTGCACTTTTATTGCATCGATCGATAGGGTTAATTATAAGAACAAAATCTCTCTCACAAAATTGGTTAATTAAATGAAAAATAAAACCATGAAATCTTAACGTATTTTAATAAAACGAAAAAAATTGTAATCTAACTAATTAGTTGCTGTTGTTTCCTTTAAGTAAAAATTTCTATCTCCAGTATTTAGAGTACTTTCCCTCCAGGTGGCATTACAAATTTCCACCCGGTATATTATAGTCTGCATATCCTTCAGATATTAGATTTATGCATTGCCTCATTGCTCAAAATTTTGTATAATTACATTTTTAGCTAATTCGGCCTGTTACATTAGAAAATATCAAGTTTTTACTTTCGAAATGCTGTACTGTACAATCATGGTTATGCAGATAACCGGCTACTCTTGATATCGTTGACTTCATACAAGTTGAAAATGAATGATAAACCTGGTAGAAATCATTAGTCCCGTCTTCTTGTCGCTGTCTAAAATAATTTTTAACTTCATTTTACATTGTTCTGAATTTATATTAGCGTATGTGTTGTCTACAGACTAGGCGTAACTCCAGTTAGTTCTGTGTGGATTGGCGCATGGTGGGTGGGCTTCATTCTCTCTGCCGTTCTGTGCCTTATCGTCGCTATACCTTTGCTTGCATTCCCATACGAACTACCAGGTAAAATTATAATAAGTTAATATAAAATTACTAATTTAAATAAGTTATTATACGTCTATTAACTCTGTTTGTAATCGGTTTTCATTTCTTGATCATATTCCACAGGCGCAGCAGAAATCAGATCGTCAAAAATATCCGAAGCACACGAAGGATCAGCGTCAAAGGCAGCGGCTTTCAGTGAACTTAAGGAATTGCCGCGAGCGGCTGCAGCGCTGCTCAAGAACCCTACGTTCCTGTTTTTGAACCTCGCCGGAGCCAGCGAGGGCTTGATGATATCAGGCTTTGCCGCGTTCCTACCAAAACTCATTGAAAATCAGTTTGCTGTTAATGCTTCTGAAGCTGCTTTACTTTTAGGTGAGGATTTACCGACTGTTGGCTTCCGTATACTGCCGTCTACTAGCTAAAACGCTGCTAAGTGAGAAATGGTCCAATAACCGTTTTAAATAGCAAACAATGGATCACACAATTCACTTTTAAAAATAGTTGAAATTAGTTAACGTGTTCGACTATCGGAACTTACTCTAAAGGCGCATTTATTCGATACGAATTTGATCGCGCTCACCCCGCGCGGCCGCCGCGCGGTCGCAGAGCGGAGTCCGTGTTGCCGCCGCGCAGCGAC